ATGTGACGAGGTTTTAATGTCATGATGTTATAATTTTTATTTTTTAAAATAAAAATTAATCTCTTATTTTATATTTTAAACCATAAAATATGAATAATTTTAGACGAAGAAGAATCTCTCAATATTAGAGGACTCACTCTTCATTCAATATTTTTTGTTATGTAGTTTAATATTATGTAGATTGAGCAACCCTTTTTTCAATAAAAATTATAAAAATCCTTCTATATTTTTTTTTGGGTACATATCAGGTTTTTTTTTTAATACATTAGAAGTTAGCTTCCTAGTTTAACAACATTTGAATTCAGAAGAAAAGCCAAAAAAAAAAAAAAGAACAAAAAAGCAGTGGTTAGTTTGGTCTTTGGTGATGATTAGATGACATTAACAAATTGAGTATTGGTTTGAATAATTTTTGCACACACGACACAGAGGTTGTTAAGATAGAAAACAACACTAAATGCAGGACTGAGGAGGTTAGGAAAAATGCATAATTTTTCTCAACTGGGTTTTAATTACCTACTTTTTGGGACAGACCAAGTCAATTGAATCCCTTTCATTGACCTGGCAAGCCCTATATATTATCAAACTTCAAAACCTTAAAATACCAGAGACATCCCTTAATCATAAATTCCCCACTACCTAAATTATATTAGCAATCGGTTTTTGTTAGTTAGATTTCTAGAAGACGCTCTAAAACTACTTTATATCAATAAAATATGATTAAAAAATAATTTTATTTATACTTTAAAAAAATTATTTTAATTTTTATTTTAAAAAATTATTTTAATTTTTATTTAATAAAATTATTTTAATTTTTATTTAATAAAATTTTATTAAAATAATAATTTTTTAAAGTAAATTTTTTCTTAAATTTTTAAAAGTTGGCCTGATCATTATATTGAGGAGATATCTATCAGAATTATAGAATATTTTTTTGGTTTTAACCTTCTGATATTCGGTAACTACATTAAATCTTAATTAATTTAGAATCGAGTCGCATCAGATCCTATTAGGTGGGAAGCTCTTCCAATGTTTATTTTTTCATTCACAATACTCAAATTCGATATTTTACTTAAAAAATACTAAACTCCTTTTATTCGGATCATTAAATCATTCATATCAAAATTATAGATAGGCTGTTAGTTACCATAACAAACGATAACGCATTAATAATTTGTTTTTTTAAAGAAAAAGAATAAGAGGAACCAGTTCGTGTATGCTTTAATTAATTTGGTAACAAGCATTAATTAAATCCTTTGGAAGATGCAGGTTTAATTTATCTATCTCTTATTGGAATATCAAAACAATTTCTTTCGTCTTTTCTTACGTTTCATTGAGCAGTTCTTCATCTTGCCATTATTTTCCAGTTATTCACAACTGCAACATAATGACTTGGTCTAGTAAGTTCGGTAGCAAATTGACCCGTAACTGGGGGCAACACATTCTAGAATTGTAATAATTAACACTTAATAGTGGAAGTTAGTTTCTCATTATAAGATATTTATTTTTTTGCAAGCATGTGTAATGCGTTCCGTCGTCATGATTTTTACGTTTTAGCTAACTTCCTAGAAGATATGTAGTACTTGGGTATGGCTTCCATATGAAGCATAGAGCTTCACATTCACAAAAGGTTTTTTGTCAATTCATAATTGAAAGATAAAACATCGGTCCAGAGTTGAAATGACATGTTTCCTCACTATTCTTGAGTTTGAGTGTGCACTTGTCCTTTTTTCTTTTTTTTTTTTGAGTGTGTTAATTTCAGTCCAAACAAATAATGTTGTCTTTTACGTCACTCCGAATTAAAAAACAAAGAGTAGTTAAATGTTAATTTTAACTTTTGAATTTTTACTTTTGAACATTGTTAGTCTTTAGCTATTTTGTGTAATTTTTTTTTTGTCACTTAATTATGAAAAAAAATATTTTTTAATCATTTTATTATTTAATTTATTAAGATTAATTATCTATATATATAGTTTTAGTCTCTAAATTTAAAAAATTAGAAACTAACAATATGCATATTTAGACTGATTTAATAGACTAACTGATTAAAGGATAAAAAATGTGTATTTGTCAAAGTTGAGAGATGAAAAAAATGTAAAAAAAAATTAACGAATGAAATTTGTTCAAAATTAAAAGTTGAGAGACTTAATTTGGCAGTTCACCGTTAAAAAACAACATCCTCTTTTATGTATTGGTTACACAATGAGTGGGTGAGTAATTGAATATTCTTCTTCTCTTAACTTTTGGCAAAATCCTGCATTAAATTCCCAAACTTATCCTAAATTCCTCATTGAATTTCTAAACTTTTATTAAAATAAATAAGTCGTTAAATTTAACAATTTGAATAATTAAACCTTTTTAAATAGAATAACAAGGACAAGATCAATACTTACCTCATAGGTAATAACATATTAATATCTTATCATGTTATATCTGCGGTAAATAAGAGAGATTGAATTATATAAATTGCTAAATTTAAGGACTTATTTATTTCACTAAAAATTTAAAATTTTAATTGAGAATTTAGAATTTGGACCCTCTCAACGGTGAAAACAAAAACAATCTAATATCTTTACCAACTCTCTATTATATATATATAGTAGACCTAATTATAAATTTTTCAAAAAATTATAAAAAATAAAAGGAAAAAGAAAAAGTAGTGCTCGAAAAATTTCAAAACTTTGAAAAGCATTACAACAAAAATATTGTGAAACTAATTGAGAATCAAAACTACTTGCAACAACAAATTGAATTTGTCAAAAATAAAATTAATTTAATTAATTCTCAATTTCTCAGTAACAAAGGACTAAATCAATTTGTTCAAAACCTCTGTTATTAAACAACTACCTTAATCTAAAATCAAGAAGAGTTGTTTAATACTACATCAAATTACATGTTGGCTACAGTTAATTTCTTGCTTTCAAATTAATAAAGATTCTTTATTAGTTTTTTAATTAATTTTGATGTTTAAAAGTATGTTTCCCTCTCTGACTTTAATTCCAACTTTTTTATCTTTATTTGAAGTTTTCATTTGCAAGTGGAACTAAAGAAAACAAACTTGCAACATCATAAGGAAAATGAAATTCCAAAGAAACAAATAAATAAAGATTTCTTCAATCATGATTCTTGAATAAATTGGACTACTGCGGCGAAGCTGCTCCCTTTAATTTATAGCCGCTTGCACCTATAGCTCCATATCTACTTTATTTAAAGGATGATAAAAAAAAAAATGGGGATATTTTGTAAATTAAAATATCATAAATGATAATAAAAATATATAAAGTGTTGTTTGATATAATAATTTAAAACTACTTATCAGTGGTTCATCTAATTTAATAGTTAATTATTATTATTATTATTATTATTAATTTAAACACTTTTATTTATTGAATTAAATAAAATCATTATACCAAATAAAAAAGCCCTTAAGAAATCAATATATAAAAAAAATTTATTAAAAGTATTTAAATAATCCTATCATTTTAAATACCAAAAGACCATCATGTTTTCCAATATTCTCTTTTATATGTTTTAGATAAACTAGTTCCTTCCTCTATTTATTTTTAATAGTTTTAATTTTACTTTTTAACTTTTTATACATAAATTTTATATGAATTTTTTTATTGTAATTTCATATAAAAATTTGACATATTATATAAATAATAATTAAATTTTTTTATCCAATAAAAATATTTGACAAGAACTTCACATAGAAAAAAAAAATCAATTGTTTTCCATATAATTTATTAAATTTTCATCTAAATTTATATTTGAAATGTAAAAGAGTCAAATTAAAATGAAAATGATTGATATACTATTAGTTCAACACATTAGTCAATACCTACCAATTCAAGCCATTAAAATCTAAAATTTAAAATTCTTACTTTTAATTTAAATTAAAAAATAATAATTTTTTAATGAATATATTATAAAATATATTAAACCAAAAAATACCTATGTCAATGTTCTTACTAAAA